GGGTGAAAGCATTTTGGTCTTATTTCTAAGATGGCTCATTTTGGTCTCACAATTGTTGTCACTCGCCAAAGTAACCTTGTGTTCTTCTCTAGTCCTTCCTCACCCCACTCCATCTTCTGCTGACCCCCACACTCCATTATTGAATTTTGAGGGACTTCTGGATAGAAGCCTTTTTTTTTTAAATGCCAAATGCTGTTTATTGCCTAGGCTTGTATATCCACAGCACAATGGGAGAACCCCAGAGGGCAGAAGTTCGCTACCGATGTTTTACAATCTTGCATCTAATCTGTTAACGCCCATTATGCAGGATACACAGACAAGGAACTTCCCTTAAGCATTCAGGAGGGTGAAACCTGGCAGGGAATTAGCATAGGGAGGATATCAAGGTCAAGGTCAGCAAGCAAGGCCACACTTACCCAAAACAGAGGCCAGGGCTCTACAGGTCCCCCTTTTACTAAAAAATGAGCTTCTGTCTTAGGTTGCATGGGATGTCAGCAGGTCACCTTACCCATCATGGAGACTCCTGCCCAGGTCACACAGGTACTCTTTTCTTAGGTTAGTGAGCGCCTCCCCCCCTCCCGTATTACCCGTCTTTGAATACTCATTATCATACAGGCTCAATCGTGTGTGAGCTGCAGAGTTAACTGCTGCCAAAGATCTCAAAGTGGCACTGGGCTTGCAGTCTGTGTGTTCGACACAGAAAAGATTGACAGAGGTCCTATCCCACTCATAGCCAGTAGGCCAAAGGCAACTGAGCCATTCCCTTCCTTAACGAGCCTTACTGCAAATTGGAGTCCTTGTAAGATGGTATCCCAAAAGCAAATGGAACTTGAGTTTATAAATTTATAATTTTAAAAGCCAATCGAAATGTATATAACTATTGAATTAAATTTATCATGCCCAATAGAATGAAAGATTAACTCACTGTGTTAGCTACTTTTGCTGCCAGGGTCTCCACTGTGCTAGCTGTAGTAAGCAATTACGAAAAGATGATCCCAGAAACAGTTGCAGCAGTGGCTGTCATTGCTATAACAGCAACAACGGCAGCAGCAATGTCAAATTCTCTTCTGGAGTGTGTGGACATCCACTGACATGGATACAACAACTCCAGTAACACGAACCGCCAAGGCCCATTTTTCTTGATCCCAGCATGACTTAAGCTGGCAGCTCTTCTGGAGAATCCAACCTCATGGCTACAGTTCCTAGGCTTATGTTAATGCTCACCAAAGCTGGCCATATTGGGCTCTCAATCCCCATTGGCATCAGAAGGGATAGAGTTTTTCATGAAGACCCAATAGGTCTCTGTCATGTTGGGCTTCAGCAGCAGCCACAGGACGTACCTAGCCAGCTCTTATAACTTAAATTAACCCATTTCCTTAATCCACAAACTGCCGTGTGCCATTAATTCCTTCGTCTTTCTCCCAGAAGTCCTGCCTATACCTCCTGTCTTGCTATTGAGTGTTAAGCTTTTTTTTTTAATTAAACCAATCACAGTAACATATCTTTACACAGTGTAATCAAATATCTTCCAACACCATGTCTGACCCAGTCAGCTGTGCTTTGAAAGAGTCTAGAATCTCCTGCCCATTGTTGAAAAATAGTATAAAGCTTAGGGAATATATTTCTTGTGTTAACCTGGAACACTTTTTTTTTTCTAGCATCTGCGACACCATCACCTAACCTAAACCCTTTCTCCCCATATATATACATCTAGAATGCATTCTGCTCTCTTGCACACTGGAAGATCACCAGAATCATGTTAAACCTTTGCATCCTTGTGTAGAAAGGAATTTAGTAAAAAGGAGACAAGAAGGTGGGTGGGAGGGGGGAGAGTTGGGGGATAGGTCATAGCAGAGTTGGGTGGATATGATCAAGAGACATTAAATATATGTTATATATGTATGAGCTTGTGAATAGGAGCAACACACACACACACACATACACACACACACACACACACACACACACACACGAAATTGCCAAAGAACAAAAATTTTAAATTAACTTTTTAAGGTCTCCTGAGAGTTATGTAAGTTAGGAAAGGATGGCTAATGATCTAGGAAAGCAGACTGTAGACCTTTTTTTGTTTGTATTTTTTGAGGCAGAGTTTCTCTGTGTAGTTCTAGCTGTCTTGGAACTCACTATGTAGACCAGGACAGCCTTGAACTCAAATATGCACCTACTTCTGCCTTGTGAGTGCTTGGACTAAAGGTGTGTGCCACTGCCTGGCTGACTGTAGACTTCTTAGTTGGGTTTATACATTAGTTACTTAGTTTCTTTTTAAATTATGGAACACTTCACGATTTTGCATGTCATTATTGTGCAGGGGCCATGCTAATCTCTATATTGCTAAAGTTCACAGTTAGCTAGTCTTTTTTCTCAAAGTAATGTAACTTCAAGGAGGATGACAGAAGGTCAAGAAAACAAGATAAATGTGTCCTTTAAAAGCACAAAACTTAATGACTAGGTGTTAGGACGTATACTGGAGGCTTCTCCATCACTGCTGGCCAGACATTTTGTTTGTGTTCTTGATAAGCTACCTGTGAACAGTACAGATCATGTTGTTGATGACTTCCATAAAGAAAATGCACTCGTGGACTGGAGAGATGTTGCAGGGAAGGACCTGGGTTCACTTCCCAACAAGCACATGGTGGCTCACAACCATCTGTTACTGTAGTCTCAGGGGATCTTATGCCCTCTTCTGGCTTCTGCAGGCAGCAGGCATGTGTGTGTTACATAGACATACATGTAGACAAAATAAATCTCAAAAAGAAAAAAAAAAAGGAATGAAACTGCATGTGTGCTTTGTGAGGTCAGTATTGTTTGTCAAGGACACACTTGAGTCAGCCTGAATTCTGTCTTACCAATGCTATCATTGAACTTGGAGCAGGCCTACTGAGTGCTGAGACTACAGCACTGTTGCAACACCCAGTTGGGACTTTTCGCTATGTGGCAGAGGCTATAGAACAACATAAGCCAGAAGCAGAAGCTAAGCGCTACAAAGCAGAATTGTACATTTCTGTGAGCATGTCTTGTGATTTTTATTACATCTCTCTGGTATCTGGACATGCCTTCCAATGCACAGGGAGTGGTTGTCTCTGTGGTTTAGTAGGAAGGAGAAGTGGGGAGACAAGACTGAGGAATGGTGTTTAAAGTACACCAGTTTTAAGTGCATAAAGGGATTTATTTTTAAAATAACATTAAATGGTACACATTATTGCAGAGGAGGGTAATCCTGCAAGATTCTAAACTGTATTACACACAGCAGTGACTAAACATTTGATTAGCTGTCATTAGCTGGAGTGCTTGGGGGGATAGACAGCACTGTAAACCAACACCTAAATACAACTTAATGTACAGATCCATTAATAATGTCACACTCTGTAAATGCTTCATCATCTGAGGGGAAAAACATGGATTTCTCATTGTATGCTATCAAGAATCAGTTATTAAAGGACAAAGATTCTATGTAAGATGAAGTTAGAAACTAGAGGAAAAGAGTAAATGTTAAAAACTAACCTACGTAGAGCTTAATGACCGTAGAGTGTGGTGATATATTGTGTCCCCCAATATATTGTGCATCCTAATAAACTTTTCTGGGGTTAGAGGACAGAACAGCCACTAGATAGACTTAGAGGCCAGGAAATGGTGGCACATACACCTTTAATCCTATCACTTGGGGGGCAGAGATCCATCCGGATCTCTGAGTTTAAAGCCACACTGGAAACAGCCAGGCATGGTGACTTATGCCTTTAATCCCAGGAAGTGAGCCTGATTAAGCTTTTAGGCTTTTGAGCAGTACAGTTCAACAGAGATCTATTCTGGATAAGGACTCAGAGGCTTCCAGTCTGAGGAAACAGGATCAGCTGAGGAATTGGTGAGGTGAGGAAGCTGTGGCTTGTTCTGCTTCTCTGATCTTTTAGCATTCACCCCAGTACCTGGCTCTGGGTTTGATTTTATTAATAAGACCTTTTTTTTTTTTTTTTTTTGGTTTTTTGAGGCAGGGCTTCTCTGTGTAGCTTTGCGCCTTTCCTGGAGCTCACTTTGTAGCCCAGGCTGGCCTCGAACTCACAGAGATCCGCCTGGCTCTGCCTCCCGAGTGCTGGGATTAAAGGCGTGCGCCACCAACGCCTGGCTTTAATAAGACCTTTTAAGATTCGTGCTACAGTAGAGCTTAATGGAGCTTGTTTGGGCCCACTAGATGGACTATGAATTTGTAGGAAAATATTGACGTAGACCTGGGCATGTTGACCTAGATTACATTTTAAGTTAAATTACAGAAACTAGTAAGGAGGGTGTTATGTGTGAAGGTACATGGTTACAATCCCAGCACTTGGGAGGCTGAGCCAGGAAGATCATGAGTTCAAGTCCAGCCTGGGTAATATAAAAAATAAAATGAACATGAAACCCCATGCAAGCAAAAGTAAGACATAATTATTCCTTAAAATAGAAACTGGTGGGGCTGGAGAGGTGGCTCAGTGGTTAAGATCCCTGGCTGCTCTTCCAGAGGTCTTGAGTTCAATTCGCAGCATCCATATGGTGGCTCACAACCATCTATAATGAGATCTTGTACCCTCTTCTGACATAAAGGCATACATGCAGGCAGAACACTGTATAATAATAAATAAATCTTTTTTTAAATAGATTTTTTGAAACAGGGTTTCTCTGTGTAGCTTTGTACTTTTCCTGGAGCTCACTCTGTAGACCAGGCTGGTCTCGAACTCACAGAGATCCACCTGCCTCTGCCTCCCGAGTACTTGGATTAAAGGCGTGCGCCACCACTGCCCAGCTAATAATAAATACATCTTTAAAAAAAAAAAAAAAGCACTGGCTAATCCTGGAGATGACTGGAGTTCCCAGCACTCAGCGGGGGGGGGGGGGGGGCAGAGAAACTGGTGTCTTGGTGGTTGTCTCTGTAGGTAATGGCTTGGGCAGAGAAATTATTTGATTTTTATATATTCTTTTGAAACTTTACCTCTTTTATATGCTTATTATTTTTAAGAAACTGTAAAAATTATGCTACAGTATTGTTTTAGTTGTGATAATGGGAATGGATGTTAGGGTCCCAGGTATTTTTCTGCGTATGTTACTAGCAGTAATTGTACCTACAATACTTGGAGTGTATATGAGATACTATTTTTGACAGTACGGTATAGATGAAACCAAAGCTTGAAATGTCTTAACTTGGGATGTGAGTCCTTAATTTCACCTGTAAGAGCTGACTTGTGTGTGTGAATGGGTGCTTGCGCGCGCGTGTGTGTGTGTGTGTGTGTGTGTGTTGTATCTTAACTATGTATCCCAGGGTGGCCTCTAACTCGCTGATCCACTATGCCTGGCTGTGTTTTTGTTCTTAAAATTGGTGTGAGAGCTAGTGAGAAGGCTCAGTGGGAAGAAGCACTTGATGCAAAGCCAGACCACCTAAGTTTGATTCACTTACCCACTTGATAGAAGAAGAGAACCAGCCCCTGCCAGTTGTCCTTTATCCTTGGTGTGCACTATGCCCACACAGATTACATATGTACACAATGCATTTTAAAACTGTAATTTAAAAACTAAATTGGAATGAAGTGTAAATGTATGGAATGCATATGATTATTTGCTACTGCTGTCACTTTAAAATTTGTAATAGTAGGGCTGGAGAGATGGTTTAGTTAAGAGCACTAGTTGCTCTTGCAGAAGACCTGGGGTTCAGTTCCCAACACCCACAGGGTGGCTTATAACTGTCTGTAACTCCAGGTCCAGAAGATCTAATACCCCTTCTTACCTCCGAGACACCATACACATGCATACATACACTCAGATGCACACATGCACTAAAAATAAAACTTGTAATTGCTTTGCTACTTAAAATAGTCATAAATATATATTGTACACTGAGCATAGTCCCTTCCATCACTTCACCCTCCCTTTCATTGCTCCTCCCATTTGCCATCTTGATTCCTCTAGACTCCTTTAGATAGCTTCACGTCTACTTTGTCATGTATACACACGTGTATCCACTGTCAACATCTCCATGGTGTTTTATGATGCCTTGTTTGTCGGCCTTTATTTTGAACCTAATCTGATTCCCCAACAGAACAGAGACATAGGGATGCACATGTATGTTGCTCAGCATTAACCAGAGACCTTATTTATGCCTTTAAAATGGTTTCCTTTAGGTTAGTACAGGATCTGCACCCCCACCTGCAGTTTCCTTCTTTTGTGTATGCTATATTCCCTAACTTGTATGCTTTCTTAACCCTGTCATTGTTGAAATTTCTTTAGGAAACCTCCCTGTGAAAGACTTGCCAGCCTCATTTGTTTCTACATGTGCTACTTTATCATGTGCTACTTTTGATATTTCTCCTGCTATGACTTGATTTATGGGTGATTTTAACTGCAGTATCATTCTCATACTTCTTAGAGCAAGTTTTCTTTAAAGGCATTGTTTATGGCCGGGCAGTGGTGGCGCACGCCTTTAATTCCAGCATTTGGGAGGCAGGCGGATCTCTGTAAGTTCAAGGCCAGCCTGGTCTACAAAACGACTTCCAGGAAAGGCACCAAACTACACAGAGAAACTCTGTCTCGAAAAAAGCAAACAAAGCATTGTTTATGTCTTTTTGATGTTATTTAGAATGACACATTCTCAGAAGTAGCTTTAATATTGAAAATTTTTCCATAACTCTAAATCCTACAGGTAAATCTATAGGCATAATCTCTAAGAGATTAACTTACCTGGTGACTTTAATACTTAAAGAATTCTCTAGAAATTAGTTACTATAATAATTTACATGAATTTTGCATACTTTTTGAAATGTGATTTTTCTAAAATCCCTTTACAGTACACCAGGAGATTCTTCCCGGTCAAATCTTTTTGAAGATGCAACAAGTGCCCTTGGTGAGTGTCTAACTTATAAAACAACTGGTCAGTCAGTGCAATTTCGCCTCCTGGTACAGTTCGTGTTTTAATGTTTATTGGCCGGTATCCCTGTTCCTGTTTTGGTATAGTAGGTAGAGGGCTGGGATAGGTGTGCTCACTTGTGTGACTGGCTTCTGGGCTCCCCAGCAGCAGCATTCCTGCAGCACTGACAGTGCTGGTTACAGGTTAGTCCTGAGCTAGTTGAGCTTGAACTCCTTACTATCCTCATTGTATTTAGTGACAAAATGTAGATTTCTTGGGTGTGTACCAAATTCAGAATTTCGACTTTTGACTGTCCTGGGACAAAGCTGCCACCAAATACTATCAATAAACATTCATTCATGAGACTGAAGACATGCGACTTCATACACGGACAGCCATCAGTTGTAGAGAAGAGGATTATATAGAGAATGGTAAACCGTTCTGTAGCTTCAGAGCCAAAGCTAGTTGTCTCTGAGGCTAGTAAAGGTTCAGGATGTTAGCAGTCTTG